ATATATATATATATATATATATATATATATATATATATATATATATATATATTTCATGAATTATAGATCATAAATTATATATATATTGACCATATTGAATTATCATTGAATTGATGGAACAGCAACACTTAAATAGTATCTAAGTTAAATTTATTAACTGCAAACGCTTTAATTTTAAGCGTTTCAATATGCTGGATCTATATGAATATATGTTTAGTAAACAAAACAGCAACAAATATATATATATATTATAAAATAGCAACAAGGCAAAAGCTGCAAAAATCCCAGAAAAAAATTTAAAAAAAAAAAACTCGATTGCATATAACAAAAAAATAATGTTTCAATAAGTATTTTAGTGTTAATTATACAATTTACAAATACACAACACAAAAGAAAAATAAAAACAAAAACAACAACATAATATAAAATGAAATAAAGTTTTAAAACAATATTTGTAAAAAGTAATGATGAGTGTTTACTATTAATTCAAGTAATTTAAACTTACACCGACTATTGACATATAACTTGACTACCAATCCTTTTGTTTATCCAACTATATTATTGGGAGAGTTTCTTATAATGGCTGAACAAGGCGTCGCAGACGTCAGCCCCATCGATTTCATTAATCATTCTTGAATAGGATATTAAACTGACTCGTCTTAGCTTCTCATTTTTACTACTTTAACTAAGTTTATTTTACGATATTTCCCATATTTCATTATGAATATTTCATTATAACACTTGAACTGCTCTGCTTACAGTAGATGTATATAAAATTAACAAACAATGAGGAAACGATTAACTAACTGTTGTTAGTGTGCACTGTAATATATATATATATATATATATATATATATATATATATATATATATTTATTTATTTATAATCTCGTTTCCTTACATTTCCTATACAAACTTTTGTATGAATTACACGCATTTTGAATTCGATTTTGTGAAATTTCAATTTGGACCCCATGTGATATCTGCATTTATTATCATATACTATCGTACTCTATAAAACTGTAAATATATATACACATATATATATTGAGTGGGAATTTTGATTATAGAGAACGGTTTCTACTCGATTTATAAGGCTTTATTGCCATTTAGTTTTTGATTGAATAAAAATTAACTCATAATTTTTTTCATACTTAATTTAGTTTTTTAACAAGGTGCACATACCAAACTCTCGCTCTCTCTCACTCTCTCTCTAAAATACAAATGGAATAAAAGTTTGCACATAAAAAAACAGTTTTCGTTAGTACGGTTAATTATGCATAACAAAACTTTAGTTCTACGAACTTTTTGAACTAAAACTTACTAGAAAGAAGGCAAATCATTTAAAAAGAAATAGTGCGAACTTTAAGTGAATGATAAATTTTTTGGTTAATTTTTTAATTAGCCCAGCAAAAAAAATCTAAACATTTTTTAAGTTCTCCTAAAATTGCCAGCATCTGTAAAATATACTAACTATATATGATGAACAATCTTTAGAAAAATTTGATAAACATTTTCATAGTTAGTATTGCATTCAAAGTTTTTGTTTCTTCTAAGTAAAACAAAAGTAACTAGCAACTATATATATTAATTTTGCGTTGAACTTTTTTTCGTATTTTAAAATGTTACCTATTTTATTATCTTTGGTTACCTATTGCTTCTATATCTACTACTGCTTCTACTTCTTCTCTAACTACTACTAACTTCTATTACTAAAACAACAACAACAAAAATGAAAACTACAACAACCTCTCGTACTCTACTCTGTACTTACAACCATATATGGAACCATACTAACTACAACAAAACAACTTACATCTTCTACCTTCTACTACTACTACTATAAAACTATTCTTAACTACAACAACAACAACAACAACAACAACTATTATACAACGTATTTACAATGAGGTAAAGTATAAGTAATTATTAATGCTATGTATATAACACAGAACTATCTGAACTATCTCTATGTTATCTCTTTGTGTACATCTTTATATATATATATATATTTGTATATATATATATATATATATATATATATATATATACATATACAAATATATATATATATAATATATATATCCATATCTGTAGCTATATCTATGTCTAAATCTATTATCTCTATACACATATATGTAAATCTATATCTATATCTGTATCTCTGTATAGACAGAGTAGGGCTTAGACCCTTATCCACATCTATATTTTTTTTAGCTCTATACTACTGTGGCCCTGCACTTCAGTTAGCCTGTTAGTCCTGTCAATAACACAAGTGCTGAGTGTTCTCAATAAAACCAAAAATAATCTGTTCCTGTCGGAAGCGACCGACTAGCATATCTCTTTAAATCATTACGGTATTCTGGTTAGTTGTCCCCAAAGCCATTAACTTAAATCTCTATATATTTTACGCTTAGAAATCTTAAACTCATTAGCTCCTGAAAACTACATATAAGCAAATACATATATTTATTTTGAGAAGTATTTATAATGCATATGTTTATTCGCAAAATATATCTCATCCGTATTTGTAAAAAAAAAATATTGATTAGCCTATTTTCAATAAATGTAGAATATGAACTGAAATATACCGTTCTCGGTTGCCACTTTCAGTTTGTATTTTCACGAGAAAACATTTTAACATGCCACAAACAGGCAAGACAACACCACCTACATGACAGCTACAGCTCCGGCTAGAGATACTGATACACAGGCAGATACAGATATAGACACGGATACAGATAGCTACAGCTGTTACAATGTTTGCAAGTGATGTAGTTAGCGTCCAAATGCAAATGTTGCTCGTTTTTCTCAATTTGTCAGACACATTTGCGACGAGCACAAAGGAAAATTGGAACTTAACTGATATGAAAATTCAATTTTTTTTCCTATCGTTCAATATTTTAACAGACTAATTGATTTCTGCTCCAATTGGTAACAAATATCCAAAGGTGGGGGCTTGAAGAGATTTAAAGAATAACTTTATTTGAACTATCTGAGCATGTTTCTATATATTAAGAGAATTAAAATTAGAGCAGCTGTCAAATTTGATTCGCTCAAGCTCGGTCATCGAATAAAATGAGCCTGGAGCCGACATACCAGCACGTTCTGGCAGGCGCGTAGCATAACTAATTCTGTGGGCGCAAAATACCACAAAACTAAGTGCTAAATGACGCATTTAATGGGCGAAGCGAGTGGTGGTGAGAGTCTAAAGTCTGGGATAAAGCTCGCAGCTCTCACATAAATGCTGCATATTAAAAATTCTTTAAATATCTGTACTGCGAAAAATATTTGCATGCAGTTTATCAGCTGTCAGAGCTGTAGACGCGGGCACATTTTTGTCAAATTTCCAACATTTACCGACATGGAAGGCACATTCCCAACAGAAACAACGCTGGTTGCGCAAGAGGCGAGAGGCGAGAGAGGAGAGGTGTGAGTGGGTGTGCTAGAGTGTGTGTGTGTGTGTGTGTGTGTGTGTGTGTGAGTGTATGAGTCTGTGCAAGTGCTGTTGGCTAACAACTAATTGCTAAAGCTCAAGAACTGAGAAAAGAATTGAGTGCACAGCCAGCGAAATGGCAATGAGATTTACTTGCGTCATTATGAAGAGCCATAAGCTAAGGCCTGGCCAAACGAGGCCCACACAGGAAAAGAAAGAGACACTCTTTGCCACAAGTATAGGACAACATTATAACACTTGCACACGCCCACTTTCGACTTACTTATGCTCACGCATATGGCCACAGCGGCACAGCACAAAGACACAGAAACTGCTTAAAGGGACACTGCCGCCCGAGCTGAAAATGCACTTAAAGAAATAGAGAACCTTAAATCCTTTGAGCGAATCTAGTTTCATGTTCTTAAACCATTGAAGTTCTATTAGTAATGCAAATACTTTTCGAATTGCTAACTGAATAACAGAATAACTGAATAACAGAATAACGTAGAAATTTGTCTTACTTAGATAATGTTTTTTTCATTCAACTTACAAAGTTATTATATAAATGGCTTGGTTAAATGCTGTTCTTCTTCCGATTACTAATAAGGTAATACAATAATAATATGTGATACCTTTACCTTTACAAAATCACGAACAAATTATTCTTTTTTAATTTAATTTGGCATGCGATATTTTTTCGTGAAGTGTACAACTAAAACCAAAAGGTACAACTGTATAAGTTAAAGGTACATGGCCAAATTGTGAAGGCTGTGTGTGTGTACAAGTGTGTGGAAGTGAGTGTGAGGCCATAAGTAAATATCCAGGACTCTTTGAGGCTGTTAAAATATAATTACGCCGGGAATATGGTAGTTGCTATTAGTGGCTATGACAATGAAATCATTTGCTCTGGGGAAGCACCGACTTAGGACTTTGGCAGTGGATACGTGGGCTGAAGTGGGGGGCTAGGCAACGTTTCAGCTGCTTAAGCCAGCATCTTAGAAAAGTCGCAGGAATGCGAGACCGTACACCCACTTCCTGTCATTTGTAAATGCTGCCGTCGTCTCCAGCTCTGACCCAGATGCGGATGCAAAGCCCGATAGAAGCGTGCGTGGTGGCAGAGGGCAACAAAGCTCAGCGGTCTTGAACCGGATTAAGAAAGAAAATAATTTGACGTTCGTGCCTTTTCAGCAACTCCTTGCAATAAAAAAGAACAGAAAAAATTACACTCACACAGATAGGGAGAGCAAGTGGAAGACGAGGAGAAAAAGGAGAGTGGAGAGGTGTGTGCGTGCGCTTCCTTTAGCTTTCTTTTAGCACTTACTTCTCATTTTTGTGGATGTGGGAGTGCGTATGTGTGCTGCCAATAAGGATGGAAATGGAACTCTAATGTACTATTCCCCTAGCATGCGCGTATTAAGTCGCATAAATGTCACCAGTTCGCAGTCATCCTCATAAACTCATCCATATATAGATGCCTCAGCAAAGCCTAAGACAATTCCAAGGGGCCACCCCCACTGTCCCATTCATCCGCCTATCCACTCCCTCTCTGACGCCTGACGTGTTGGTATTCAAAATAGCATTCAAAGCAATAAAACGCAGCGAGTGTCTTACTTATCCGGTCTTTGGATCGTATATCAGACTTATGGGACCACAACACTTAAGCAGAATCTAAAAAAGGATGATATAGGGAGAGAGAGAGAGAGAGAGATAGAGAGAGAGAGAGAGAGAGAGAAGGTATAGAGCAAGAGAAAAAGAGCTTGGCCGCAGGGCTAGGTATTAAGTACCCTCATTACGGCTAGGACACGCAGTGCAGAGGTAAAGCTTTTTAAGGGAAAAAGAAGCAATTTAAAGAACAAAATTTTGCCAAGAACAAGCAATTCGCATACCCAGTATTAAATGCAAAGAGATTTCTTAAAATATAAAATAAAAAGGTGGACCTGACACGCTGCACCCAAATTGAAAACTTCCCAGGGGTCGTTTTTATATATATTGGTTATTTTGTTTATTTCGTTTATTTTGCAATGGAACCCATTGGCTATCGGCCTGGACCATCTATATATAAGTCAATATATAAGTATATATATATATATATATATATATATACTATATATATAT